GGGCTCCTGTCCAGCGGCCTGCCGGTCCCCCGCAGTGCCCTGCACCCGCTCTCCGCTCCCCCCCGGGCTGCCAGGCCCCGCTCTGTCCGCGGGCCAGCAGGGCCGTCGCTGTCCCGCCGTATCTGCGCACATTGCAGCTCTGAGGGAGCCGGCCCTGCCCGCCCCGAGGCCAGCTGGTCTTTCTCCCCTTCTTCCCTCTCACCCCCATTGTGATTGGCATCAGGGTTCTGACTGGGAATGTGGCAGTGCCCCTGTGCCCGATGAAGGTGGGAAAGGGCATCCGGTGGCGCGGAGGGCTCAAGGGCTAGACCGAGGAAGGATGCAAAGGGAGGGGGCTTGTTGGATGCTGGCCAGCAGGGAGGAAGGCTGGTGTGGGCTCGACGTTGAGCCGACCAGGATTACTCTGGCAGCCATATTGGGAGGATGATCTGACAAATCGTTTAGGAGCCAAGTCCGGTTGCTGGAAGGCACCGAGTGACAGCCCTGGCAGCTTTCAGGGTGACTAGCCGCACCAGAAGCCAAGTTGTGGGGGTTGGGAGGCCGCTCGGAGCAAGCCAGTCATTGTTCATGCAACGCAAGCCCTCGCCGACTATAAAAGCAAAATTGAGCTCCCAAATCACCTTTTCTCTTTTGTGAATTGCCATACGAGCCTTCAGGGTAAACTGGCTTAAGATTCCATTCTTGTTGGGATGAAATCCTGTGATGCTGTACTTATCACCGATATCCATTGCTGCTTTGGCTCTCGAAGGCCTGTTGATGCCTTTCCTCTGTGAAGGCCACTTTACCATGTTGGAGACTCTCAGCATCATATTTCATTGCGTGGATAGATTTGCATAGTACCTCAACATTGCAGAGATTAGTAAACTGGAATATTCTGATAACCGAGAAGACTTGCAGCAGTATTTCTGAGGAGGCAGGTTGTCATCGTTGTGGAATCTAGAGGTAGCCTAAATTAGATTGTCAACAGATCTCTTGCTTATGTAGCTCTCCCTGTTCCAAGCAGCTGTTCTGCCAACGCCGAGCATGCTGCTTTGTGTCATGATGTGCCTGTCTTAACCCAGAGAAAGCGGTGATTGGGTTTGAATAACCGTTAAAAAGCGATATTATGGGTGATATTTTATTTACAGGCTGTGCACTTGGCTTGGTCATAACAACATTTATTTTAGCTTGTATTTTCATTGAGAAGTGTGGTAGTCTTTTCTAATTTTGTTGATACTGATTATGAAGTAATTGAAGTTGTTAATGTGCTATTTGAGGATGGATTATGAAGATTACTCATACTGGTGTTTTAAAGTACATCTAGAAATGATCAATAACTGGGTTCAGAGTGAGCCTGTAAATGTGTTTTCCTATATTTTGGACATGCACAGGACCTGGGGAGATGGTATGACTCCTGTCTTCTTTATGCCCTTCAATTTAAACTTCGTCTTTGGCAATGGGTGGGGGCTGGAGATCCAACCCAGGTCTTAGACATGTTTGACAACCTACCTACTACTACTGAGCTATATTCCCACCCTCCATTTTCCATTTTTTTTTTTTTTTTTTTTTTTGAGACAGGGTTTCTCTGTGTCGTTTTTTTGGTGCGTGTCCTGGATCTCACTCTGTAGACCAGGCTTGCCTAGAAATCACAGAAATCTGCCCAGCTCTGCCTCCCTTTGAGTGCTGGGATTCACGGCCGCCTGGCCTATATTCCATTTTTTAATGCATCAATTCTTTATTTAAATTTTTCTATTTTAATTTTTCTGTCTACTTAAGAATAACTACTAAAAACAAGTTCCAGTTTTTTTTTTTTTTTTTTTTTCAGAGCTGAGGACCGAACCCAGGGCCTTGCGCTTGCTAGGCAAGCACTCTACCACTGAGCTAAACCCCCAGCCCCCAGTGTTTTTTTTTGGTAAGAGAACTCAGCACACTTTTTTTTTTTTTTTTTAAATAATTTTTATCATTAAGCAATCTCTTTAAACTTCAACAGATACTAGTTTTTTTGGTTTTGATTTATTTTATGTGTATGAGTGTTTTGCTTGCACCATGTTTGTGCCTGGTGCCCTCCGAGGACAGACGAGGGTTTGGACCCCCTGGACCTGTAGTGACAGGTGGTTGTGAGTCCCCATCTGGGTGCTGGGAACTAAAGGAGGGTCCTCAAGAGCTTTCCCTGCTGAGCTCTCTCTCTCTAGCCTGAAGTCAGTGGTTTTTCCAGTACATTAATATTCAAGAAATACAGAATGTCTGTTTTATGATTCCATATCAAAAATAAGAAATAGTTGTAAGTATATGTAAAGAACTGTGATTAAATATAATTTAAGCATTTGATAAAATCAGACCTGATTGTGAATCTGAAGTGAGGAAAGATTTCTTAAGTCTGTATAGATCTTCACTGTTGAATATTTTTCTGGAATTTATCCAATTAAGTACAGTTTCTAAGGCATAGGGCAGACTGTTTCCCATTTCATGACCAGATATGAATGCAGTTTTCTTTTTTCTACTAAATTTGTGCAGGGAATAAATTATTGCCCAAGAAGAGTATGCCAACAGTTTCCAAGGCCCAAGCTTTCTAGCCTACTTTTTCAGTTCTGGTCTTGTTCTGTGTACAGAATAAAGGACAACAGTGAGTCCTTGCTGCCTTGTTTGTAAACCCCTTCCCAGGCTACTCACGGTAATAAGCCTTTCCCAGGAGTAAGCATATCCCTATGGTTCTATACACTGATGTGATAGAATTTCACAGTGCCCTGAAGTTAAAGCTGTATCATCCCTGTTTCACAAAGTTCCCTTTGAAAGAGATCTTTAGATACCTGAGAGAGAATAAATATATACACCTTTATTTTGGTGCAGGATAGAAGACATTAAACAGATTTGGCTATGATAGGGAAATCTTGTGAATTTGGATTTTTCTTTTTTTCTTTTGGTTAACAGCTCAGTGACTGATTTGTTCCCATAGTCATTAAGAGATACTCCAGCCCATATATAGATTCAGGTCTTTGTCCTAAAAGAATGTGAGCTCTACCATTTGTACTTGGACTCTAACTTCCTTTATTTTAGTGCAGTTAGTGTACTGCTGCTTATGCTCTGGAAGTTTCTGTGATTCTCAGTCATCCTTTTTTCTCTTTCTCATGCTGTGGAGTATGAATGATTTTGCGATTGTGGCTGCATATGTGATTCAGGTTAAAAGACTGAAAATATCTGTTGGATACAAGAACTTTATTTAGTTGGGGGAGCTGAGGACTCTACTATAGAACTGAGGCTCTGCCTCACAGATTTTTCACATCATCTTGGCAGATGTCAGTAGCTATATAAATAAACAATAGTAGTAGCAGCAATAATGATAAAGTACTGAACTCATACTGAGCACTTAAGCACATTTATTAATTTAATTCATAGGTAACCATGCCAACTAGATACAGTTATTGTCCCCATTTCTCATGTGAAGAAACTTAAACACGCTAAATGACTTTCCTGCCATTACTAGATCTAGGTTAGTTGTCATTGTGCTGACTTGCTTAGAGACCACCCTTCCCTTCAGATTGCTTCACTTCTGCTCAAACCCTGGCTTGGTTCTTTTAAGTATCGTGCCACATCTTTTAACATGTCATCACTTTCAGATCTCAGATTGCCGTCCAGTCTTAAACCCTGATAATTTACAGTCCTCACCCCTGTAATCTCTGCTTGTGTATTCCCGTGTTCAGTCTCCAAGGCTTTTAGTCTCTTCTTTTCCCACACTGTCACGTCTGGGATTCGTTGCTCCAGCCCCTTTCATACAATATCAACGTTGCTGTTTTCGATTCTTTACTCTTCTGAAGGCCTCCTATCCACAGGCCAGCTTGAGTCATTCCTGCTTTCCATACCTTCTGTTCTTACTCTGCTTTCATGGAGAAGCCTCACAAAGGGCTGGGGATTAATGCTACTGTCAGTATGTCAGTTTGTCTTTGATGTTGGCTGAAACAGGTCTGCTTGGTCTTCTCAGGATGTTCACAGTGAGTGGCTTAAACCTCCCACTGCCTCTGCTTAGCAGAAAATGTATCTACTACCTCATAGGGAAAAAAGGCACAGGTTCCTTCAGTCTCCCCCTTTCTCTTCTGACAACCCCCCCACCCTCCTTCTCTTTTCTCCAGCCTGAGAAAGGTTATTCTCTCTGACTTCAGCTAATCCCTTGCCTGTGCTCTGTGTATCACTGGCTCCTAATCTTTTGGGATTTGTTTCATTGGTTGCTCTTATTTCTCCTTCGCTGACTTTCCCCCACTGTTCCTTGAATGTTCCTGGCAAGTTTTACCTTAGGACTCACGCTCTGTCTTTAGCCTGAATTGTTCTTTCTCTCTAATCTGTTTGGCTAACTCCTTCACCTCTTTCAGATTTTTGCTAAAATTTCACCACTTCAACAAAGGGCCCCCCTGGCATATCTACATACACCACTTCTTGACTTTACTTCCCTCCCTTCAGTTACATTCACAGTAGCTCACTACTTTTAATACTTCTTTGCTTCAATAGAATGAAAGTTCTTCCAAGACAGGGATTCCCTATATGTATGCAATGTGTTGATTAAACATGCAAAGATGCAGGTCTTTTTTCTAGTAAAAATAAAACGGTAGGGGACAAAGATCTTGTTTCCATTCCTGTCCCCTTTCTTTTGTTCATCACAGTCAGATATG